AAATTCAACATCTTTTTAGATTAACTTTTTATTAGCAACCCCCCACTTCAAATGTTATTATTTTTTCTTTATCATGTACCTTTATATTGTTGCATCGACTCAGTTATTAACCTGATCAAATGTTATAATTTGCTGCATGGAACTTTAAACATTTTAACAAATAATTTGAAGGGAATTTCTTGTTGCTTATTTTTAACTTGTGATGTGTCATTTTGTAAAGCACTTTGAGCTGTATGTGTGAAAAGTGCTATATAAATAAAGCTATTATTATTATTATTATTATTATTATATAAATGAATTCTCTTCGGTACAACATTATGACAAGATAAAATGTATGTTCTTCGATAATTAGTGCTTTTCATGCTAATGGAGATTAATGTTGACACAAATAAGGGAGAAATCAGAAATGCTTGTCATTCCTGGAGAAAACCATCAGGATTGAAGGCGGGACCTCCAGGCTTCACTTCCTGGAGTTAGGAAGCTTAATAAAAACTCACTTTGGTCGAAACAGGAGCAGCAAATCCCCATAAATATCAGAAACTGCAGCAGACAGACAGCATCCATTATTTTGACATCTGAAACTTGACTGGGGTCTCGGTGGTTCCTGAATTGTTTTGCTGTGTAAAACCGTAACTGTGTCCACGCTTGAAAGCAGTCGATTCCATGTATGCGGCAGCGAGCAGGAAACTGCAGACCAGTATGGGAGTATTTTATTTTCTGTATAGAGTTGTAATCCATCCGTGTCCCAAGCAGTGTTGAGGTGCAGCGCTCTGATGTTTAATCTTATTCACAGCAGGGAAACACCTGATTGGAATATTTAGTGAGAGAGGGAAATGGATATTGAGCGCTCTAATGGAGCAAATATGTTTATGTGCACATGATTATCTATTATCATTTCTGATAATATGTTTAGCATGCGGATGCTATCTCACTCTGTCTTTATCTAGAAGGAAGCAATCTGTGAAACATCATAGGTATTCAGGAGGTGGCTTGTACGCAAGGCTGGTCAGTAAAAATCAAAGGTTTAATGCAAAGCTGCCTGTTGTGTCCGTAAAAATGTCCGAAGAAATTGCACAAAAGTTAAGATTCAGATGTTGTATTGATCAATATGGCATATTTCACTACACACTCATACTTGTCAACCCTCCCGATTTTCGCGGGAGACTCCCGATTTCATTGCCCTCTCCCGGTTTCCTCCCGGGGTCATATTTCTCCCGATTTCTGACTAAATCCGATTTACTCAGGACTGTTTCCACTCGGACTTTAATGCAGCTACACCAGTGTTTGGTTTCCATGGTAGCGCGTCTCTTTAGTAGCGCGTGCAACTGAAATTCTGAGAGGGTGAGGCAGATAGTCCAGCCCACACATATGCTCCATCAAGACAGTGCACTTACAACTACAATAAGCGTGTTAATGTTAATCTAATACAGCCCCCGGCGAACCACTAGCACCCGCCCCCCCCCCCCCCCCGGTGGTTTTTGAAATGCTCCCGATTTCTGAGGTCCCAACACACATATCATTCATTTATATCTGAAATAGTTAAAAGCTCCAAAACAAAAAGTGGCGATTGTCATTCATACACAAAAGTAATATTCGAAGAAAAAAAACACACAAACAAAAATAATTAAGTGATAAAAAGACAAAATAATCAATAAAGGCATCGCCATCTTGTATCTTTACTGAGTGTTAATTAAAATTAGTTAGGGGTAGAAAATGTTGCTTTTTGAGATATCATCAACAGGAAACAGCTTTAACACCAAATTCTACTGGGAGAAGATTAGAAAACAAGACCTTTTGCTCAAATCTGAAGAAAAACATATTAATACGAAAAGGGGAAACAACAAATAGACCTGTCTCGCTACAGTTGTTGGAGTAAATAAAGACAAAAGCAACCTAGTCACATCCTGAGTGTTCCTGCATGCATTTAAACAGTGTATTTGAAAGTAGAGGTGGTGGGTTGTGAGTTGTCTAACCTTCTTATGGTGTTATTTTTTCAGCAGCACATCTGCATAGACGAAAACCTCTGCCTCGTCTCTTTTGACCCGCTGGCTTTTTGTCCTCGCCCCAAGCAAATTCTCCTTACACGCTAACTTCAACCACCACCGCTGCTGCTTCTGCTCAAACTCTGTTGTTTGCTTCTTAAACCGAACAGAGTTTCCTAAGTGACATCTCCCTCATTGTTTTGGTTTAAAAAAGTTAAATGTGATGGATTGTAGCTTGTGGAGAAAACGTAGAGAAGCTCAAGTCGGTGAAAAATGGAGACTAACAGGAAACCTGTCAGAGCCGAGCTGTATCAGTATTTTATGGAGCGGCTTTGTGAAGACGGCTGGCAGGCAGAACATTTTTATAGACAAACAAGAGTGAGATCGCTCACACGAGACACATTTACTAAATAACACGTGGATGAATAAGAGCAGGGTTTGGCAGATTTGATAAAGAAGAGTGACAGCGTTTATACAAATTGGATTTGATGGAGCAGGGAGAGTGAAAGCTCCAGAGAGAAGGTTCTGAAACAAGATGAGAGGAAGATGTGCAGGTGGGCATTTAATGCATTTTGATAAGACGAGAGGGAATGAGATGGAGGAGACTTTAAACAGGTTTCTGGTGTTATCTGCCTGATGCTGCGATAAAGAATATCAAGAAAACACGGACTAGTGTGGTTCAATTTCCATTTGAGTTCACAGTGATCTGATATCTGAGATCTGAGATATCAAATCAACTGTCGTGTGTTTTATTAAAGACAGCAGTAATCAGTCAGGATGCCAAGCTTCAAGATTTATGCCCGACTCTGATAACTTCCACAACAATAAATCAAATAACAAACATCTGATAAGAAAATAGGAATCGATTTTAGTTATGTTTCTATTTTATATGAATATTTTCATGACAAGAACTATTCTTTTTAGATCTGTTTTGACTTGTACCTGCCCTATCCTGTTTCCTTAGTTTTGTATTGCTGTTGTTGCTATGACACCTGCATTTCCCTAATAATAAAGGGCCTCTTCAAACTGGTTTTTAATGTGTTTAATGTTCTGTTATTGCTTGATTTTAATGTGATTTTTACTATATTTAATTCTTGTCCTTTTCTTTTTTTACTACCTCTGTAAAGCAACTTTGAGCACCTGTAAAAGCGCTAACAAAATACATGTATTATTACTGTTATCTAATCTTCATTATCCAAACATTGAGCCTCATTCAGCACGAGTTACAGAGAGAAACACAGGGATTTTAGCCTTTGCAGACCATTTACATGCACTAAAACCTATATAACACACTATAGGAGAGGAAAGACCCCACAAAGCACAATGGAGCTTATTTAACTAAATAAAGAATCAACACCAGATTCCCCGCATTTTCTTAACCATCCAAATGTGCTCCTACAGGTGTGCTGAATGTACATTACCCTGATGATAATACATTGGCTGTGTGTGGACGATTGTTTATTATTAGCACAGGTAACGCCCCCTCACCACTATTCAATAGAATGGCAGATGTTGTGCAATTACTCTGGCATATGCTCAGGAGTTGGAAAGGTGCCACCAAAGAAAAGCTGAAAAAAGAATTGGAAGAACTTCAGCAGTAAAACAGAGGTACTGTAAATACACCTGACAAAGTAATGAGAATAAAAACAATACATGGGATTTGTATAACGCTTTTCCTAATGCTCAAAGACAACATGTAAACAAGTAAACATGGGATTTTCCAAAGGATTAGTACTGGTGATAACAGCAGGGGTGTCAAACTCAAGGCCCGTGGGCCAAATCCGGCCCGCGACCTCATTTTATGTGGCCCGCAAGAGCTTGTAAAGAATATTATATACAATACAATTGGTGTAATTGTTGAATATTTGCTTTCAATTATTTGCCCTAGACTTCTATAGAGAAGCAAAGAGTGTGCAAAGCTGTCGTCAAGGAAAAAGGGGGCTAATTTGAAGAATCTCAAATATAAATCATATTCTGGATTTTTTGACTTTTTTGTTTACTACATAATTCCATATGTGTTCTTTTATAGTTTTGATGTATTCAGTATTACTCTACAAAGTAAAAAAATATTAAAATAAATAGAAACCTTCGAATGAGAAGGTACTGTGTA